ATTTTCTTGGTTTGTTTTGAACTTAAATAAAAATTAATAAATATGAATAAAGAAAAAGCTTGCAAGTATTGTGACCGGTCATTTTCTAATAGATATGTGAAATTTAAGAAGATATATCTTTATTTATGCACATATATGGAATATTTTTGTTTTGGTTTTAATATTGCTTGTTTATATTTTAATTTTCTGGTTATATGTTATAATCCCTATAAAGATTCTAATGTTACCTGTTTTTTATATTTATTACTTGAATAAAGTATTTTGCTTAACATTTCTTGTCTTTATTTGAATTAAAAAAAAATTATCCAAAATTTGGATTCCAAACTTAAAGCCAAAATAGAGCGGGTGTAGCGGAATTAGGATAGATTCGGCTGTAGCGGAATTTTTATATTGTTTTAGCGTTATTTGTTATTTTCGAGTTGGCAACACTGGTACTCTGTGTGTGCGAACTAGTGATTCACAGGCTAAAGTATTTCAATGTGTTTTAGTAAGTTAATGTGTTAAAAAGTATCAAATAGATTTTAAATAGTTCCTAGCCTTCTAGTGGGTGTTCATCATTTAAGTACCTACTAACGATAATCTGGGTAAGTTTTAAGTAGGTAGGTAACTTAATTAAGTCGTATTAAATAAATTTAATTTTTAATAGTCTCAGGTAGAGATTCAAAATTTCAGGAAAAATTGAGTGTTTTGAAGTTGTGAGTAATTTGTGAGTAAAATCAGAATATGTTGAGGGATAAAAGTTAGGTTAAGTTTTCATTTAAAATCGTCACGACTCTTACAACACGAAATTGTCACAAAAATTAATTTTTATTTTTATGTTTTACGAGGGCAGTGGCGCCTCCAGACTTTGAGTCTGGGCGGTAGTCGCAATCTTTAAGTAATACTTTTTTGCGCTAAAAAGCCTTGTATTTCCGATTTATTTAAAAAAGGTAAAAAAGGTAATAGCGTTATTAATCCAATTTTAGTCACAATTATAATTTTGTCATAAAATAAACTTAATACCTTAAGATGTTACCTTTCTAAAAAAATCAGAAATGCATTCAAAATATAACTTTTTATTCTTATTCTGTCTTTAAATTAAATTTAAAATTAAATAGAACATAACTTGTACAGGTATACCTAAGGATAAATAAATATGTTTTTTCTAGCATATTATTGACATTATTTGTTTTTTTCTATATAATGGTAACCATTATACCCGCCATGCCTAACAACGGGAATAATGAACTCATTATTCACGTTGTTAGGCATCAGTGATTGCTGATTTCAATATTCACTGTGATTTAATCGGGTTATAGGACATTGGAAAAACTAAGGTTGGAACTTTATAACTAATGTCAGATTTGTTGATATATACGAGGGGCGACTATAATGATCATTAAGTGGAAGAAAGTGAGGTTATAATAAATTTTGTTGTTAATTGTTAATTGGAGTAGAAAAAGCATACTTAGTATTACACTCGAGATGATGCGCATTATATCTCGTATAATAATATACTTTTAATAACATTACAGAATTAACAAATAATAATAATAATTATAATAATAAATAAATTAAAAAATTTAAAAAAACTTATAAATCTAATATCAAACAGCAAATTCAAATATTTTTTACTAGCAAATTTCATCACATTTATCAAAATTTTCGTAAAAATACAAAAAGTCCAGTTAAAATGATTGAATAAAAATATTATACCTCAAGGCGGGACTCCACCAAACTGGCTTATGTAAGCGACACCTGCCGCCGGCTTTTGCCAGAGAAAAATATAAGTAAAATGTGTTTCAAAGCCAACGGCCTATTTTTTCTAGCTGCCAAATGTCGGTAAAGATCAAAGAAATTTTCTGCGGCCTGTGCGGCTTTTCTCTATTTTAATATCAAACAGCAAATTCAAATATTTTTTACTAGCAAATTTCATCACATTTATCAAAATTTTCGTAAAAATACAAAAAGTCCAGTTAAAATGATTGAATAAAAATATTATACCTCAAGGCGGGACTCCACCAAACTGGCTTATGTAAGCGACACCTGCCGCCGGCTTTTGCCGGAGAAAAATATAAGTAAAATGTGTTTCGAAGCCAACGGCCTATTTTTTCTAGCTGCCAAATGTCGGTAAAGATCAAAGAAATTTTGTGCGGCCTGTGCGGCTTTTCTCTATTTTAATAAATCATCCCTGTAATTTGTATTTAATTTCGCAATTTTGGTTCAATTGTAAGTCATTATTCTATTAAACCTTTTTTATCGAAATTAAATGACGAAAAATAAACGTGAGGAATACATAAACACACGCTCGGCTGTTTATATTAACTGCTTGATGAAATTTTAGCCGCTCTTGAAATAAGTACGATAAAGGGCTTTGATTTATGATTATTGTACATACATAGATTTTTAAATATTAAAGTCTTAAGTAACGTAAAATCATTTGAATCATTCATGTATGGGCAGTGTGTTGAAGTTGTTGTTGTTTAGTTCAGATGATATAAATACTTTTTATAGTGCAAGACTCTTTATATTTGTGGGTGTAAAATAACTACAAGCTAAACAGGTGAGCTTATCACTGAGTGTCTTTTCTTTATTAAACTGAATGTATATTTAGGCAGAGTTGTTATTTACTAGTAATTATTATACTTACAAGTCCAAGCAGGCCCCATTTGCTTTTATCGCCCCGGGCCCCCGACGTTCTTAGTCCGCCACTGCTTCTATTATAAATATTCTGCCCAAAATAAATAAAAATACAACCTAAATAGAAACGAAATGGATTTAGAAAGTTATATGATAAACACCTTGCATGTTAGCGAAGCTGATATTCAACGTTTAAGAGACGAGAAGGTATGTTTTAAAAAAGATTTCCTTCCAACAATTACCTACATTTGATTTATCTTTTTTACAGATCGACTGTAATGTCATATCATTAATGACCGACGAGGAACTAGCCTGGTTTTTCAAAAGTGCAGGAGATCGTGTCTTAGTTAGGAATTTCGTTAAAACATTAAATACTTCAGGGCAGAGAAAAGAACATCTAATAAAAAAATGTTAGGGAACGTCTAGCAGCTATACGCAGTAAACGTATAGTTAACTAATCATCTAAACAAAAACAAAAGATGGAAAATACAGCAGTAAAAGGGCCTAATACGAAGTCTACTAGGCAATTATATCTGGGTTGGGAACACAGAGAACGAAGCCGACTGATTCAGGTAATTGTAAAGAAAGGAGGTGGCACCAAGCTGTTATCTATGCCCAAAGATTACAAAAAAATGGGAATTATAGAACTGGAAAAAAAACTTTATTTTCCAGACGGAAAATCTTCCAAGGGTACTGAAGATGAATTCTCTTTCGAGTTGGCAGATTCATCCAATAACCTTGTTTCTCCAGAGAAAACCGTCCTGGAAATGCTTGAAGAGAATTCTCCAAAGGTTCCCAGAATTTATCTTAAAACTGAAAGAGTGGATACTTTTGTAAATGATAATAAACAACTTGAGTGTGAATTTCAAAATACCGTGCTTGCTAAAGATAAAGTCGTGCAATCGATAACAAGTGACGAACAAATTATTCTTTACGCTGATACGTCCGTATCAAAATATACTGGGGAGATATCCGTATCTTTTAAGGACAAGCAACAAGTCTTTGAGCAGATTTGCAGTATTAAAGGACCTCCTAATGTAGATTATGCACATTTTGATCATGTAAATTTTAACTATCCAATTGCAAGAGTCGAAGTAAATGGGGTAGTAACTCTGAATAATGAGGATGAATTTTTAGAAAAAATTGATAAACCAAATGCATCAGTTAATTTGCCTTCAGTTTCTAATTTATCAGCTGATCATTCTCAATTATCTGAAGCTTTGTTACCTATAATTCTAAGAAAGGATCACGGGATCACAAGGTACAGTGCGAGAGGGCAATTGGCTGGGAACGCAAGTGGCAATAAAGAGTTTTAAGACTGGAAGATTAACGGAAACATAATTAAGGGAAGTGAACCTTCTTGCTAGAATTAGGCACCCTAATATTATACAAATTATGGGCATATCGTTAGAAAATAGACAAACGCACATCATTTTCGAACTTGTCAAAGGCGATAACCTAGGTGACATCGTCTTCGACGAAGAAAAGAGGGAAAAGTATAGTTTAGACAATAAAAAGAAAACCAAACTGTTGATTGAAGTTTGTCAAGCAATTAGCTACTTACATGGACAGACGAACCCAATCATACATCAAGATATAAAACCGGATAATATCCTGGTCAGCGAAAATTTAGTTGTGAAATTATGTGAGCTGGGATTAGCGAAGCTGAAAAATATGGCGACACAATTTAGGACGGTTGTCTGTTCTATAAAAGGAACCGTCGCATATATAGCTCCGGAAATTCTACTCTCTTAAGGGACTGCCACTATATCCTCAGACATCTGGTCGTTAGGATGTACGATTTTCGAGACATTTTCTGAAGAGGAGTTATGGACAGATGTAACTGGATATTTTACTGATGCTTTAAGGACTAAAATGAAAAATTTTGAGACCCCAAATGTTAATATTCTTCCCCCAATTCTTCAGCCTATTGTACAGATGTGTTTCAGTTATAATCCAACAGAAAGACCTGCTATAGAAGAAATAATGGCACATCTTTGCTTAGAACCAACCGAATAAAATATTAACAATAACTCTTTATAACATTTTGGCGTAATGTATTTTTTTCAAGTATATGCTTTTTATTTGTTGTTTTTATTTTGTTTTATTTTGTTTTATTTACACATCTACCAAATTGGTATTTTCATTTAGTTCTTTTTACTTACTTTTTATAAAGTAAGATGGAATATTATATGTTGGGTAATAAAATAATTTTATTAAAAAAAAATTGTATTTTTATTAGTAATAATAAAGCCATAAAAAGTGTGTTAAGCACCTACATTTATTAAACTATTAATCTCATATAGATAAGTATACAGTACGTATATGTATTATTCTTCATATTTCAAGGATGTTGAAAAAGCATCGTAATGGGCTCTGCATTAGTTAATGTTAAATTCTAAAAATGTGGATTTTAGTTTGAGATATAGTTCTGCCGCTGCATACGCGTCTTGAGGAATTTCAATATTTTTTTCATTCATTAAAATTTTACACAATTCATAAATATCTGTTTCACATGGCATTTTAAAGTACTGGCATTCCCTTTCACATGCTTCAATTAGTTGGTTGTCAAAGTCACATAAAAAATTGGTGGTATGATATAATTCTGGTAATTCAAATATTATTACAGGACGTCCTCGAGGTGATACTGCATTTCGTGAACCACTTATGGAATGAGTATTCCATTCGTATACTATTTGATCTAGTTCTTCCTAAAAGTAAATGCGTAGTTAACAAACTATGAAATTAAGGACTTTATTAACACTTTACCTGCAAAATTCCTAAGAAACAAAACTGTATTAATGCCTTATCCAATGCAGAACCTGTAAAATGGCCATCTTCTTTTAATCCCTGAAACAAATTCATCCAGAACTGAGCTGAATGCTTTCTGAGCATAGACCACCATGATTCGATGCGTTGATTGCATTGACTGGTACCATATATAAAACTTTTATTACCAAACATTGTGTCAGAATTGTCAGCAGGATTATCTCTCAGAATTTGTTGAAATTTTTCGACATCAACGTTTTCAGTACCACAGTCAAAACGTATTCTTCGTGGGCATCCTTCAAATTTTTTAACTGCGCTCATATAATATCCACCAATTATTTTAGGGTTACTAGCGGTTCTACCTGCTCGAAGCCATAATATATGTCTTGAAAATCCATCAATACTACCGCTGATGGCGATCCCGTAAGGCGTCAGTTTGTCATAAGCCTCCATATGCCATATGTAGTTTGGACCCTTATTAATATATTTACGACGACGCAGCATTTTACGTTTTCTATATTCTACACCTTCTGGATCCAACATTATTGGTATTCTCAGTTGTATCTACGTCCATTGACTCACGGCGTTCTCTATACCTCTATAGAGAACGCCGTGATTGACTGCATTGCAACAACTAAAGGGTATACTCTTTTTCTTGCACTAATAAAACATACGATCTTGCACTAATAAAACATACGCTGTCAACTGACATAAAATTTGGAAATTAGCGCCCCTAGTAGTAAAAAAAGAAAGCCAAATTTTCAATATATTGAATTTATTTTCAATATATTGAATTTATTTTCAATATATTGGATTTATTTTTAATATATTGGATTTATTTTCAATATATTGGATTTATTTTCAATATATTGGTTTTATTTTCAATATATTGAATTTATTTTTAATATATTGAATTTATTTCCAATATATTGGATTTATTTTCAATATATTGGAAATAAATCCAATATATTGTAAAAAAATAATTTTATTATAATTTTGTGACCCCAGTACGCTTTCGTATAATATAATTGCTTTAAAATTAAAAATAATTTAAAATATTTTTAGGAAAATATGCGGGACTGCAAGCATTAATTAAAAAAAGACAATCAAAAGCAGAATACGTTCACTGTGCTGCACATAATTTGAACTTAGTTCTTAATGACTCAACAAGTGATGTAATGGAAATCAGATCCTTTTATGAGACAATTCAGTCCATTTATGTATTTTTCAGTGAAAGCTTACCCTGATGGCAGCTTCTTTACTCAGAGATAAAAAACAATAAAACTTTAAAAAAATTTTGTCATACTAGATGGACTTCCAGAAATTCTAGTGTATTCGCTATTAAAACTAATTATATTGGTATTAAAATGTTTTTCAAATTTATCACTCACAGCAAAAAAACCTGCTGAAAGATTGGAGTCGACTGCTTTAAAAAACAAAATTGAAAATTTAGAGTTTATCTTTTTATTGGAGTTTCAATGTGAAATTCTTGAAAATACGAATATTTTGTCAAAAACTTTACAGACTCCAGAAATGGATATTTCTACTTCTAATACACATTTAGAACAAATATTAGATAATTTTAAAGATCTCTGACAACATTTTGACAGAATGTCAAATAAATCGATTGAAACCGCAAGTAAATGGAGCATAAAAGCAGAATAGGAGGTGATAGACGAAATTAAAAAGTAATTAAATACCCATTAATGAGTCTTTAACGACATTTTCTAATGACCTAATTAGGTGATTAAAAAATGTCATTAAGGGGAAATCGACTTTCCAAATGCTAATGACTAAAGACCGGATTTTAAGCATAATGCTTATTGCTGAATTTTATAAGCAACCAAGAGCTAATTAATTTGTACACGAATTTACGCAAAACTAAGTAAATTGCAGTGTTTTTTTAATGCATTTTTGCTTTTTTAAGGTTTTATGCTTTTTTTCGATTTCGTGCTTATTTAAACTTTTTTCCATATTTTTATACATTTTTTTTAATCATATAAAATATATGAAAAAAGGAACATCCGGCACCAGGCATCGCGGGAATCCTCGGGTATTTCCCCGAAGTTTTATGCCCTGCTTTTTAATGTTTAGTTAAGATACACGATACGTTACGGGGTTCTATTATTGTGCTTGCGCTTTATTTGCTGTACATGGTAATTATTTAGACAATGCCAAAACAAAAGCCAACCATTGAAGAGTGGATTAGTGATCACAAGGAACTAAAAATTGACAATAAAAAGGTCTTTTGTCAAGCATGTTCTAAAACTGTAAGTAAAATTATAGTATTTATTTATTGTTAAAAATTACTGATTTTATTTTATGGTTTTGAAGAGATTTCCTTTTTGACTTAAATTGAATTACTTTAAAATTTTAAGGATGAAATAAAATAAATTGAATAAAATACAACTTTTAATTTCTAAAATATTATTCGACTTTATATTCTACTTTCTCAACCCAATACTGTAATGGTTTCCTTTCAATAAAAAGCCGCCTAGATAGTGTTTTTTTTATTTTAATCAAAATATAATCTTATACAGGATTGCAAAATTAAGCGGGCAGAAAAAAATTACCTAATCAAATTTTAACCTCAATTTTTTCTTGAACATCGTAATGAGACCATTTTTTATTAGAAATATAGCTTGATTTTTTAAGAACATATTTAACCCATTTCTAAATAATATATAGAATTTATTTATGTCTTATACAGGGTGGTCATAAAGTATGGAATAAATTTATTCAAAATTAAGAGGATAAAAAAGAATTTAAAAAAAATGCTCGAACACGTCGAATTTTTTTTAATGGATGGTAGTATTTTTTATCTTGGAATAAAAGATCCTTTCGTTCCGATTCAAAAAATACCACATTGATGGGTTTATCTTAAACCGTTCTGAAGATATGAATGTTTAAACCTTCCATGAGAACAGTGTTTACATTTTATTGGGATTTAAATTTAAAATGAAATCATTTGATTGCTTTGTTTTATGGGAGGTTTAAAAATTCATATCTCGAAAACCGTTTAAGATAAACCCATCAAAGAATCTTTGATTTTAAGATAAAAAATGCAGGGTGTTCCATTAAAAAAACTGCCACGCTCTTTTGGGACACCCTATATACCAAAATATCTATTTATACTGTCTGTAAAGTGAGTAGCAGAATATGATAGTAGAATATTTTTAATTTATTGCAGATCATCTGCAAGAAAAAGTACGATGTAACTCAACATTTACAAACAGAACGCCATAAGGAGCTCTTGAATAAGTTAAAAGAAAATAAAAATAGACAACAGACTATTTTGACTTCAATAGCTTCAACTTCTGATTTAAATGAACAAAAACAATTTAATTTTGACTTGTGTAGTGCTATGGTTAAATCGGATATTCCATTAAATAAATTACAGAATAGCTCTTTTAGACAATTTCTACAGAAATATTGCAAAAAAACATTCCAGATGAAAGTACTCTTCGTAAAAATTATGTTTCTCCAGTTTATGACGAAACAATGCAGCAAATTAAAAAGAAGATAGCAAATAATTATATATGGTTTGCTGTAGATGAAACAACTGACACATGTGGAAGATATATAGCCAACTTAATTATAGGAGTCTTAAATGAAGATATCGTCACAGAAGGATTTTTAATAAGTTCCAAAGAATTAACAAAAATGAATAATAACACTGTTTCTATAGAATCTATAGATTTGTTCTTGAGGAATTAGTTTTTTTGCCCGAGGTGGTTCCGAATGAAAAAATTCTATTGATGCTTTCGGATGCTACAGCATACATGATAAAATCTGCATCAAATTTAAAGGTTTTTTACTATAATTTAATACATTGTACCTGCTTAGCTCATGGGCTTAACCGCATAGCAGAAACTATAAGATTGCAGTATCCGTTGGTCAACACATTAATAAAAAATGGCAAAAAAATATTCATAAAATCTCCATTGAGAGTACAATTTTTTAAAGAGAGATTGCCTGATGTTTCATTACCTCCAGAACCACAAGATGGGGAACTTGGCTAGATGCTGCCATGTACTATGCCGATAATTTTACAGAATTTAAGAGATTGTTACTTGAATTTGAAGGCACAGAAAGCAAAGCAGTTCAAGAATGTCAGGAAGTTGTAAAAATACCTGAACTTGCACACAATTTAGCTTTTATTAAAAGTCATTTTAAATTTGTAAGTCAGAGTATTCAGCTATTGGAAAAACAACAGCCACCTTTATTGGAATCCGTCAATGTTATTAAAAGTTTTGAAGCTGCAGTAAATATTATTCCAGGATCTATTGGTCAAACAATTAAAGAAAAATTGGTCCAGACTCTCTCGAAAAATTCAGGGTTCCAAACATTGAAAAAAATATCTATTTTAATTGGTGGGCAAGATTCCGATTTTGAAATGGATCCAGCCATTATCCCGAAATTTAAATATGCACCAATAACCAGTGTGGATGTGGAGCGAAGTTTTTCTGCATACAAAAACATTTTAACAGACAGAAGACATAATTTTAGTATAGAAAATTTGGAGAAACATCTAGTTATACATTCCTTTAGGTCTTAATAATAGATATATAATGTAAAAATAATAAAATGTATCATTTAAATAATAAACACCAATATTAAGATTATTACAACTTTTTTGCCTCTATATATTAATTATTTTTAATTAACTTGCTTATTTGGTGCTTTTTTGGCAAATTTCATCCTTTTTAAGAGCTTTTTATTTAATATTTTGATACTTTTTTAAGCACTTTTTTTTTTAAATTGTGCTTATTTATCCGGTCTCTACTAATGACAACCCAATGAAGTTTTCTCTTTTTATTTTTCAGAAAATAAAAAGCTGAACTGGGAATTGAACCCATATAGGCCTTGTTCAAAGCGAACTGCCTTAAACAATTCGACTACCAAGCCTTCACATAAAATTGTGCATTGATGTTTGATGCGTACCTTAATAATCTCTTTTATTTTTCTGAAAAACAAAAAAAGCCCTGTCGAGAACCGAGCCACGGACCTCTCGATCCGTGGATCTGGTTTTTAGATAAATAAATAAAAAGCCACTAAGCCCCCTATGGATAAATAGTGTAACTAACGTTGGTAAAATATAGATAGCTTTATTTGTTTTTATATGTTTAAATTAGATGGCGTTGTTTTAGATAAGGTAAATAAAACAAAACTAAATAAATAGGCCCCCTATGGAT